CTATTGATCCGTATAGAAGGATCGGGTTCTTTAGGCTTCATGCCTTTGTTTATGAATTTTCTTGATTTTAGGCCTTGAAGGCCGAATATGAATGCATTAAAATAAATATTCCGATCACATTCGTGACCGTATATTTATTCAATATCTCGAACCTTGTCTACTCCTATTTATCTACTTAGGAGGATCGGGTTTCGTAGGCTTCATGTCTTTGTTTATGAATTTTCTTGATTTTTTTAGGTCTTGAAGGCCTAAAAAGAATGTATTTAAACAAATACACCGGTCACTACAACCGTGTATCTATTTGATAGTTCGAACCCTGTCGACTCCTATTGATCCGTATAGAAGGATCGGGTTCTTTAGGCTTCATGCCTTTGTTCATGAACTTTCTTGATTTTAGGCCTTGAAGGCCTAAAAAGAATGTATTAGATAAATATTCTGGTCGACCTCGTGACCACATATTTATCCAATGGTTTGAACCCTGTCTACTCCCATTTACATGCTTAGGAGGATCGGGTTTCGCAGGCTTCGTGCTTTTTTGTTCAGTGAATTCTTTTGATTGTAGGCTTAGCATGCCTAATACGAATGTGTTGAAACAAATACACTGGTTTCCACAGCCGTGTATTTGTTTAAAGGTTCGAACCCTGTCGACTTCTATTGATCCGTATAGAAGGATCGGGTTCGAACTAGAATTCACTTATCGACCCGCGCAGCATCCCTAGGCGTCACATGTGTACCAATAACACGCTCGCCGGGGCCCATGCGGGTGATTTTTATATACCTCTTTAGTGTACCTATGTGTATACATTCTCTAGTGCACGTGTAGGGGTATTTTGAAATATTTATAGTTTTGTAGATAATTGACATTTGAATACACAATATTTGATTTCAGAGCTTATACACGCCTTATGTCTGCTAGTACGAGTGTCGCGGATCTGGTGGCGTTGCGTTTTGGATGTTGACTCCCCCTTTCTCAATCACCGGGGAAGGATTTTTTGGATTTTGGAGTCAAAGACTGCTGATTTGGAAAGAACTCATTTTAGGCTTTTCGGCGTAGAGGACTTGTCATTTCTAGTATTTGTGAGTACCAGAGATGTTTTCTTCTTAAATATAGAACTAAAAAGAGACTTTGGAACACCAGGAAGTTTGGTTCTAATTTGTTCAAACATTTCTTTTCTGATTTTGCAAGGGAGTGTACTTTTCGTACATCGAGCTGCTTTTGTACCCGATGTACTTGTAGATTTTGACCATCACTGTCATAGGTGATATCCATACTTGTGTCCACAGTGGTTCGCTATGCTTACGAGGTTCTCACTGTTGTTATCCACAAGTGGTTTGTACTCATTTGTAGGGATTCGTTGTACTTGCTACGACCCCCTAGCGGTATTTATAGGAGAGCCCTTGCTTTTGTATTGAAACCACCTTTCATCAATCTCAGGTGGTTTGATTGTACTTGTTTGTAGGGGGCGGATCCTCCATAATTGGTCTCCCGTATCGCCATCTCAATCAACAGGCGTTTATAGGGATTGTCGTAGGAGTTCTCTGCATTCTTCGTTCGTGAGCATTAGGATTTCATTTCCCACTTGCAACTTGTTGTTAGCTTGGACGACTGTGCACTTAAACTTTGATTGGTTCGTTCATCCAAAGTCCCAGTCTTATGTATTCAATCGGACCCGAATTCAAAGTTCCACTCATGCTTGAGTCTCCCTTGTTGTCCTTGAATGTTCAGGCTCCTTATTGTTCATGTCAAACTTGGATTTAGCTTGAGTTTAGAGTACAAGTTCAAGTGATTGTTCATAGTCTTCTGAAGTTCTTGCAAGTTCAAATGCATGTTCGTATTGATTTGAGTTTGATTTCAGTTTGATCTTGTTTCATTTGATTTTGACCCTTATAAATTATTTAGAATTTGTTCAAATTTAGGTCCACAAGTTCACTGTTCTTCGTATGAGTCTTCTGCTCATTTAGTTCAAGTTCTGTGCGCTTCTGTCCAAGTATAAGTCTTCTGTATTGTTGCCCAAGTGAAGTCTTTATATTGTTCAAGTCTCGTGCATTTCAGTGAAAATTTCGACAGCACCCCGACATATCCCTCGTTTCGGGGAAAATAGGGGAGTTGGGCCTTTCCACCACGCTACTAGAGCGTGTATGGTAGGTGTCCGTAGACACTGCGGCCGT